TAGACATACATGTAGAGAAAATGCAGATGCACATAAAAACAATAAAAATGAGTAAATAAATGTCGCACCTGAATGTTTTAAATTTTGAATGTATTTTCTTTATTGATCAACTGAGGAATTTTTCACTGGCTGTTCAACCTCTATGAGTAATTCTTCTGCTGTTTGTCCATTGGAAATAATTTTGGAAAGAACCATATAACTACGTCATGGTATATGGCTTTTTAGTTTCTTTTTCTTTCTTTTTTATTGGTGGGGGGGTTTCCTTAGTTTCTTATGTATTTCCAAGTGACTTCATAATAGCATTTCTTTGTTTTCTTCATGCTTTTTACTTTACCCAAAGATGTGACATTGCAAGCTGTTGCATGAGCTTTATCTTGGCTGTGAGTGTGGAAGTTGGAAGAGACTCTAGATGCCTGGCCCCAAGAGATAGTGGGACGTAGGAGGACAACCACTTACAAAGTTTACTAATCAATAAAGAAAGGTTCTGGGGTATTATTGCTGATCTGGAGTAGTTATCAAGTATCTACAACTTGTTTTAGAATTTCTTCCATTGATTATCCATGCAGAAAGTCCAATTTTCTTCCAGATAGTAAATATTCTTCTCTTAGAAAACAAACAATAACAACACATCCTATTGGTACCTTAATTTGTAATGTTTCTGCATTTTCAATTTAATTCTTCCTTGATTAATGTTGCACATAAGATGCATAAACTGTTTAATCAATTTTCCTTCAATTTAGTCCATGAATTTTATTAAGTGCCATTTATTGAAGGGGTTGTGATATCCTTGATATTTATTTAGATATTTTCTTAGTATTTGCTTCTGGAAAAACAAGTATTTTCCCAATAATTAAATCCTTTACTCTTGTGTTGGTATCAAAGAATTTTAGTCCCTATGGACCCAATAGACAGTTGTTATTCATTGTCCACACACACTTTTCCCCTTTATCTTATTCGTTGGAAATTGAAATTTTGCTTGATTTCCTAATTTATGAGAATCCTGACCAGATTCCAGAGAGGATCTGGCAAAAAATGAAGATACTCCTGGGAAGAAAACTTGATTGAGGACTATAGGACACGGCTTGGCTAACAACAGTGGGAGAGAAGGTTCTTCAGCAGCTGTTCAGTGAGGACTGCCCATGGTTTGCTCTCTTGATTCTGACTGTGCTTGGCCTTTAGGCCCTGTTTTTGTGCTGGGCTATTCTTCACACTCCCTAGAAACTGTCTCAGAATAGCAATAGTCTGTATGTCTGATCAGGTCTCTTAACATCCTATAATTACCTCTGGATTACATTAGACTTCTAGTCTCTCACAATCTGATACATTTTTTTCCCATTGGTAGAAAGTTTTGTAGTACTTTTGATTCTTTATAGCAGCCTCAAACAATTTACAAGAGAATATTTAATGAGTGCAGAATACAACCAAACTGTAGGCAGACTTTTCCCAGCCAACTAGTTCCCAAATAACCACACAGAAAATTATTAATCATAAATGCTCAGCCAATAGCTCAGGCTTGTTACTAGCTAACTATTACATTTTAAATTAACCCATATTAACCCATATTTCTTATCTATGCTCTGTCAGGTGGCTTGGTACCTTTTCTTAGCAGGGCAAGTTCATTTTCTGCTTCCTTTACTTCTCCCTGTGACTCCCAGACTCTTCTTTCTTCTTTGCTATCTCCTTTTGTCTGCCAGTCTCACCAAACCTTTACCATCTAGGTATTAGCCAGTCAGCTTTTTTTTTTTTTAACCAATCGCAGTGACATATATTAACAAAGTGTAAGGGAATATTTCACATTTCACCATTTTTACATAATTAAATGGGAAGGTTTTAACTTTAACATGGTAAAATTGTATACAACAAGAACATTTAGCATATAAGAATTGTAGTTACACTACCCAGTCCAATTGCATTTGGCAAATTTAGAGAAAATACTATCTATATTATGCTTGTGAGTCTAAAGTTTTATACCTAATTTACCTTTTTTATCACAACCAAGGAAATTTTAAGCCCAATTATTTTGTGTTTAATTCCATCTTTCTGTCATTTTTCTTAATTTTGGAGGTTGCCTGCTCTGCACTTCCTACTTACTCAGGTAATAGTATAGGCTTCTCAAGTGCTTGATGGGCTTGAAGACTAGGTAGTTACAGTTACAGCTCTCCTTGATCTTTATAGAAAGTAAAACTTTTAGATGCAAAACTTTTGATTTTTCAGCAGAGGACAGTTGCTGGGGTATTTTCTTTATTTTTCAGACTACAAATTGGCTGGACATTGTGAATGCACTTCTTACTTCTTGTTGTATATAGTTTCATTTTATTAAAGTTAATACCTTTTCTTTCTTTTTGGATAATACCTGATAATTATTCTTATTGTATATAGTTTTGCCATGTTAGAGATAGAACCTTTCCTTTTTATTTAAGCAGAAAGGGGGAAATGTTACAGGAATTGTATCTATGTTGTGGCCTGATGTCCAATTAGAGTCAAGAGGTGAGGTTCATATTCAGCTGGTTGGAAAGGATCATAGACTTTTCCCCAGACTCCAAAAAGAGAGACCTCTAGGGAAGAGGAGGCAGAATCAGGAGGTTGGGTGGGCCTTTTTGAGCCATGAAGCAAATAGTGGCAGTATGTGTCATGGTCATTGTATTTGTCTCAGGTTCTTATCTTTATATTTGTCCCTGAGGTTTATTCTGTAATAAATGGCAAAAAAATCACAATACTGAACATTCGAATTTTACACTAAAAAAAGTTAAGTTAAACAGCTATATGTTGCTAATGGCTACCACACAGTGGGAGTTTGATTCCTAGCCCAGCCATTATGCTTGGTTCTTGCAAAAAGCCATCCACATGGAAGTCAAGCAACCCAATTAAAGAATAGCATCATCTGTTTTTGGGATATGATCAGTGCAGTCATTCCATACTTCCAGAAAGAGCACAGGGCTTTGACATAAAGAAAGATGATTCCCTACATGTGCACTGATGAGTCAGTGGAGGATAGCATTGACAGAAACTAACTGTGCCCAGATCAACACACATGTACACACAAGCTCTACTATTAGCACTACCCATAGGTGCTCTTACCCCTGTACCTCTTCACTTTCCTTTCATCCCACCCCCTTCTCACATCTCTCTTACTACTGTCAATCATTTAAAAGAACGTTTCTCATTGATCAGGTTGCTCAATGCAAATCATGCTGTTTATATAGATTGATATCTCAGATAGGTGATTATTCGCTTCTTGACATACAATCTAACAGGGTAGCCTCTGACACCAGACTCTGCTCACCCTAACCTCAGAGTACCATCTGTCTTCATATGACATTTACTGCTGCCAAATCTTGTTTCCCTCCCCTGTTCTCTATCTTGAAGTCTAGACTATTAAGCCAATAAACAATAAGTTGGATAAGTGTTGGACAAGGTGAGACTTGGAGTGTCATGCAACTCAGATCATTACAGTTCAAGGGATTTTGCAGGACAGACATAATATGGCTACTCTGTTGTAGTATCAGAATATATAAAATAAATGAAACACTGGAGTGGGGCCTAAGTTCCAGTGGCACTCAGAGTCTAGTGATTAAAACAATGGGCAGTCCACACTGAGCAGCAGCTATGGACACCTCAAGTTGACCAGCTCAAATCCAACATGTCCAAGGATAGAAGCCTCCCTTTGCTGTGACCCACTGAGTTTTGTTGACTCTAAGTGCTGTGTTCTGAAAGTAGAGGCCACACAGCTCCATGGTATTCCTCCACGGTATTCCAGCATGGACCCCTCTACCTATTTTAAATTCTACAGAATTTTCCCATTGCATCTAGTAAAAAAGCTCTGCAAGTTATCAAAGTTATTTAGTGTTTGGACTCCACTCAAATAGCTGGCCCTTTGACCATTCTGCCTTCCCTATTGATCTTGTACCTCAGGGCTACTGGGAGTCCACACTGTACTCAGTCCTCTGTTTCCACCTCTGCACTCTATACCCATACTTTTTTACCCCTTTCCCATGGTACTGAGGCTGTTTCTGGTCAGTCTTGAAGCATAGGCAGGGCGAAGGAGTAACTCAGTGCCACACAGATTGCAGTGTGGTTTTCTAGTTCGGAGTTCCCTGAAGATGCTATATAGTATATTCAAAGAATGTGCATGTTTCCTTTAAATACATTATGCTTTGGTGTGATTCTGAGATAAGCATCCTGAATCACTGACTAGTAGTTATTTTAAATTCACAGGCTTTTTAGCTATCCCTAAGACACTTGATATGTCTATAACCTGGGGCATATTATGACAAGAATGGCTTGTACATGACATTTACAGGAAGATGTTTTCAAATTCAATGAAAGTCCTTGACATGATGCTACCTAAGGACTGATAATCACTGCTCTTCTCAGGTGGTCATGAGGAGAATTGCTGTTTCTAAAACACTTTCTGGTCATCCCCTGTTACAGGGCTCATGCCACCCTCTTTGTGCAGTCCTGTCCTGTCGTGGTGGGGATGTCTTGGGCAGTGTGCATGACAGAAGCCAGATGGCCCTCCAGAAAGGAAACTGCCAAGGTAGTTGTCAAATGACTTTTCTAAGGAAAGCCCAGTGATAAAGGAAAATATTTAACTCTTGAAACCAGGTTGGATATTTTAAAGATATGACTTTCCCAACAGAAAAAAAAAAAACAAAAACAAAACAAAAAAAAAAAAACAGGCCTTAATTGTATACTTGAACCTCTCAGATTCTATATCAGGGAGACTACCATACATAAATGCAATTTCTGTGGATGGTTGGTTAGTATGCATGTACACTATAAATACACCTATAGAAAGAGGCATAGATCATATTCAGTAGACTCATAAATATGGCAGGGCACTGCACTTCTGCACTGGAAAATATACATGCTGTATGTTAAAGTAATAGTTTCTTTCAGTTAGTCTGGATGGTTCATCGAATAAGAGTACTTGATGCCAAGCCTGATGACCTGAGTTCAATCACATGGACTTATATGGTGGAAAAAGAGAACACACAAACCTGTGAATTGTCCTTTGGCCTCCACATGCACACTGTGGCAAATGCATACTTCTTCCAATGCAAAATAAAAAAATAAATAAATAAGAATAACATATCTTGCAAAAAAAAGAGAAACAATATTCATTTAACAATTACTTTATGTAATTAAAATATACAGATAAAACATTTTTATAACGGCTGTGTTTTACATTTTTAAACTTTCAAAAGAAATTTTTACAATTTTCTACATTTTGCTTATTAATAAAATTCATTATTATTTCTGTTGGCCTTTTGAGACAGGGTCTCACATGGCCTAGGTAGGCCTTGAACTCATTGTGTAGCTAAGGCTGAATCCTGGTCATTCTGCCTCCATCTCCACAGGTTGAGATAAGAGGCATGCATCACCATACTTCATGCATGACTACTTTTTTGGTTACTACTTTTTAGATTCATTCATTTATTATTTATGTATAAAGTTACAAATGGTTGTAAGCCCCATGTGGGTGCTGGGATCAGAACCTAGGTCCTCAGAGAGAGTACCAAGTTCTCTTAACTGCTGAGATACATCTCCAGTTCAGATGTATGAATTCTCAATTCTTAAGGTTTCTTTCTACTTTGTTTATGAAAGAACTCCTGAGTTGAAATTTCATTAAGTTTGGATTAATAGAAGTCTTCAAAATAAAACATATTATGGCAATAGGAATTTTTCTTTTTAATGACATATTTAGGTCCATTGGAAACAGACTTCTTGTTTTGCAAAAGGGCTTGAGCAGACAACCACACAAACTCTTGCCAAGCCAGGAACCACAGATGCACATGCTGAGGGCTTGAAGGAAAAGTGGCTCTGTTTGGTAGCTTTGCCAGGCGTGTTAAAGGAACAGTGAGCCCAGATGACAGGTTCTGGTTCACAAGGCAAATCCAGCCTTGGGGCAGCTGTGTCTGAGTTTCAGAGTGTGCTGGAGGAAGGCTCAGCTCCTGTGGGAACATCACTTTCTCCCTGGGTTTGCCTTCCTGTAGCTGGGAGGCTTTCAGTTTGCCAATCTCCCCCACCCCCGCCACAACATTTTCATTTATCCTGAAACTAAATCAGTTTGGGGCTAAACATATTTTAAAATGTCAGCCTACCTATTTTGTCCACAGAATGAGAAATGCAAGATTCTCAGAAAATGCCATGTTTGGTTTGGATTTTGTCCTGGAATGTGAAACAGAACAAATGTTAGATCCTCCCGGGGTGCCTTGAAGATGAAATGAGGAAGAGAGGGAAAGCCATTGGTGAGAATTATCTGCTGTGTTTCTCCACATTTTATGATAGTTATTAATTATCATCACCAACATTATTGTAATTATCAGACTGTGTGCTAACATATATAAAATTTACAGCATGTGGAAGAAGGAAAAAAATAAATCTTTCTTAAAATACCCAGGGTGAGGACCATGTTGAAATAATTCCTATTAGAAAAAGAAAAATAAAATAGAAAAAAATCCCAATAATTTCTCAATACTGTGAAACTCCTTGTTCCATGTAGCTATCAAGCAAAAAGTCTGTCTGCCTTCTCAGTACCAGCTTTGATGATCGGTAGGCCAGGGAAAGTGTTTGCTAGATTTTTATAAGTAGCATCATGATTTAGATACTTCTTTGCTCTGATTTGGTTTGAGACCATCTATGGAGAAATAACCTCACCATGTACCATATGTGCGCTTGATGTTGCTTGAGTTTAATGAAGATGATATACTACACAAGTCCCTGATATCTTTTTGATCCATGTAAATAAACTGATCAATTAAACCTGAATATGCCATTTTATATTTATGATGGTGGACATCATGGATTGAAAGTTAAATGTTCCCTGCTGGCTTCTGTGCTGGAGCTCTTTGTCTCTGGCTGGTAGCCTTATTTTGGGGGGTTGTAGAAACTTTGGGGTGAGAGGGATGCCAAGTGGAGGTGGGTCACTGGTGTGGGCCTCTGAAAGTTAAACCCAACCCTTCTTCCAGACTCAGCTGTCTGTTTTTTGTCTGATAAGATATAAAGAAGCAAGCTCCAAGCTCCTCCCACCATAGATGGAGCCTCTGCAGTCTCAATGCCTTCCATCATGAAACTATGACCCAAAATAAATCCTTCCTCCAGCAAGTTCTGTCAAGTTCATTGTCATATTGATGAGAAAAGTCACACATATGTGGGATTTCTCTTTTCTAGTATCATAAGCACAGTGTGTTTTACATCCAGTTTCCCTAATATTTCCCAATAAACATAGAAAAAATGTTTTTCTGGGGGTGATTGTGGAGTTGAATTGGTTTCCATACCTTGTAACCACAAGCAGCTGCTTTTATCAGATTTAACCCTCTTAAGCGTAACAAAATAAATAAATAAATAAATAAATAAATAAATAAATAAATGGTAGTCTCCTTATTGTTAATATATGATTCCCCTTATTCAGCTATTCAGCTAGAAGAGAATGTCTTCCATGGGAAAAGAAGGACAACATGAAGCTGGGCGTTGGTGGTGCACGCCTTAAATCCCAGCACTCGGGAGGCAGAGGCAGGCGGATCTCTGTGAGTTTGAGGCCAGCCTGGTCTCCAGAGCGAGTGCCAGGATAGGCTCCAAAGCTACACAGGGAAACCCTGTCTTGAAGAAAACCAAAGGAAAAAAAAAAGTAGCAATTTGGGATGCCATTGGTATGGCTGAAAATCCTCCATACAAACAGGTGCTTGTAATGTTTGTGACAATCACACTGTCCTTTGTACAGATAGGCCAGAGGCAGGTTTCTGCTGCTACACAGCTAGGAATTGGCTCCTGACCACCACTGGAGAGAAGAAGTCATCAGCAGAAAGTCATTACTGGAGGTCAGGAGGTCTGAGTAGCATGTGGACTTAATGAGACATTGAGAAGAATACTCATAATTAATAGATGAAGCCAGCAGGGTTAGTCAGAAGGTGGGTTTGTGAGGTACATATTGACTTAGGAATAATTTATTTTTTTCTCATTTTTGTCTTAATTGACAAGTGAAATATTATATGTGATGTACAATGTGAAGTTTTGATACAATGTATTTGCTGTGGAAGGGCTAAATTGTAGCTGCACATAATTATTATTTATGAACACTTTTACAGCAATTTTCAATAATAAAGCATATGACTATTACCTTTCTAGAATCGTATTTTTCTTCATCTACAAACTTGAATGACAAATTTTCATTACCTCACCCTACTTCATGAACATTAAATAAAACCATGTGCCTTATGAACTGGATAAAGCCATCAGTCTCTAGCTTCCATTAATTATAAGTAGAGAGGAGAATCCACTATAACTTTTGTGGCAATTTGAGAGCTTTGCAAAGGCACATGATTAGAGTAGTCAACTTGGAGCATAGAAGAAGATACTGGAGGTGAGGGAGAAATGGCACATCCAAGAGTGAGCTGTGTAAAGATAACTCGGTTTTGTTGGTTCTGTATCCCTGTTTCCACTCCTTTTGGACTTTGGACATGTGTGGTGCTTTCCTACTTTGCATTCATGTCTGTAAAGAGGTATAAACCCTTGTCTTTCAGTTATTATAATTTTAACAGGGAAATTCCAACCACCAGGATATCACAGGAACCTAAAAATGTTTCATTGTTCCCAAGGAAAAAAAAATCAACGATGTGGCAATTCCAGAAAGGTGCTTTTCAGGTGGCATACATAATCTCTTTCAACTTCCCAATTCTGAAAACAACAACTTAGGTCATAGAAGAGATCTTTTCTTATTTTTCTTTTTACACAGTACCAAGTAGAATTTTACCATTGTAATCTGAAGGACATAGAGAACCCACATTCAGTTTCAGACTCCATCCTACACACAGTTTCCAAGAACCGTTTCTCTTAGAAATGTCTTTTCTGTCTGTCATGGCCCAGAGTCTACTGGAATTTGTCCCTTTCCCTACATAGATGGTAACTGTAGTGTCAAACTTTGATATGTGGAGAACTTCCACTTCATTATATATTGATTTTATTGAATGGAGAAACATATACAATGCACCATACAGCAAATATATCAGAGTCTGAACAGGGACGCAGCCTCTGATCCATGCAAACACAGCACAGAAGGCTCCTAACCAGGCTGAGCAGATTAGCTCCAGAGGTAAACAGATCTGCAAGAACATCAGCAGCCAGGCTGGCTGCCATCTTCCAGTGAGTTTATGGATAAACTTAACCCTTTGCAGCTCAGAGGAAAGTCTATCAAGTATATAGTGTGCTATAGATCCCTATTCATTTAATGTTTCTTAAATACAGAAGGGCAGTAGTTGAATTTTCTTGTGCTTTGGCCAAAGTATCTAATGCACAACTTAAAAGGAAGAATGGTTCATGGCTTTAGAGGGTTCAGTACATCATGGGAAATGTAGTGAAACATCTCAATTCATACTATGGCAATCCAGGAAGCAAAGTAATATCGATAGCAACCATGGATACTATGCCCTCCAGGGTGCACTTGAATGACCTACTGCCCCTTGGCAAGTACAACCTACTAAAGTTTCTAAAATCTCCCAAAACAGTGCCACCAGCTAGGGATTCTAGTGGTAAACTTCCTTGTTGCTGTGGCCAAATATCTCATAAAAAGCAAGGCACATCTTAGTTATACTTTTTCTGTGATAAAATATCTCAACAAAGCAACTTAAAGAAGTAATGGCTTACTCTGTCCACAGTTCAAGGATACAGGCTATCATGATGTGGAAGTCATGGCATCAGGAGCTTGAGGGAGTAGTCACATTGCACCTGCAGTGAAGAAACAGAGAACAATGGGTAAATTCACACCTGCTAGTGCTTGGCTCACATTCTCCAACTTATCCAGTCCTGGATCCCCTAGAAGGGAATGGATCCAAACATAATTAAGATGGGTCTTGCCACATGGATTAACATAATCACAATAACCCTTCACAAGTATGTTCAGAGTCCCATCTCTCAAGTGATTGTAGATTCTGTTAAGTTAACAACAACACAGGTATGTAGGGTTTCTTTTGGCATACTGTTTGGTGGTACAATTATTCATGGTGGGTTAGGCATGGCAGTAGGAAAGACTCCTGGCTCTAAGTGAGTATGAAGTTGCTTGTTCACATCTCAATAGATCTACCAGGCATCAGAGCAGGAAGAATTCTAGTGCTCAGTTGGCTTCTTCCTTTCGATCTTTTAATATAGTCCATATCATGAGATGATGCTACCTACTCTGCATTTTGTGTGGGTCTTCTCCAGTCAGTTAAACCTCTTAGAAATGCTCTCTCATGTCAGTTGAAAGATCTGACCCTCTTATACTCAGGAAATTTCTTAATCGAATCAAATGACAGTCAAAATAAAATCTTATATTGTCCAAGAGTTCAAACATGAGTCAACAGTAGACATTTCTTACTTAAAATGGTAACAAGAGAGAACCTTGCAGCATAGATAGATGCTATACTTCCACGTTCATCTGGAAGGGTCTCAGGCCCTGAACAGACAAGGATAACACGAAATCTGATGAGTATAGCTGTAGGCTGAAGTTTCTGTTCTGATGCAGTCCCGCAGCTGTTTAGTCCCAAATAAACACACACAGGTTATAAATTATAACCTGTTTGCCCAATGGCTAAGGCTTCTAATTGGTTAGTTCTCTCTTAATTATTAACCCATTTCTATTAGTCTATGTATTTCTACTTGGTCTTAGCTTACAGGTGATGCCTGAGCCTCTTGGTTTCTTGGCAGTTGCATGGCTTCTTTTTCTCAAGACTCACTCTTTCTGTTCCTCTTCCCAGAATTCTCCTCATCTAGTAGCCCCACCTATACTTCCTGCCTGGCTACATTTTGCCTGTCTGTTGGCTAAAACAGCTATATTCATCAACCAATAAGAGAAACATATATTAGCAGCATACAGAAGAACAACCCTATCATAAATCTTTGTGGACACCTGGGATCTGAGATGCAGCTGCAGATCAGAAGAGAAAGTGCCAAAAATTGACATGGTCACAAGTTATTTTGCTCTCAACATGAACCTGCATGTGGCTATGGTTTGGGTAGTGTATCAGGGAATATTCCTTGTATGACATCCAGTTTGAAGCTATGTGAAACTTACCAGAATTCCCAAGGCAGTGACTGTGCTGAGTGATAGAACAGAACCACAGAGGCATGCACCCCTGGTGCCAAGGACTAGTTGTCTAAGGAATTGGGTTCTTGCCCAGCCAAACCATTCTCAGGTAGATTACTAATTCCCTCTCTCTGGCCTGTGACTTCAGAAAGGTTGCCTGCTCAATGGCACTATAATGAATTGTATATCAGCTATCAACCTACTGCCATTGCTTATATGAACCCTTGGGTCTGGTTGAATAGAGCCAACTCAACTGATCCCTTGGAACACATAAGGTGTTTGAATGGCTCAAGCTAACACAAATTCATCTTACTGCATATTTTCCCACAGGAATGGAACGCTCATTTTCATCATGTAAGATTGGCTTTAAAATAAATTGTGACTCACAAATAAAATTGTCCAAATTGGGGTCCTTTTGAAAAAACTCTCTTTTGTTAGCCAACCATAGTACCAGTATATCTAATAATGGTGTAGCATATTATTAATGGAAGAAATTTTAGACAGATCCTGTTATTAGCCATTGTGACGTATTTTGAATTAGTTCATAGGTTGATTCTCTACCTGATAAACACTCAGAACATACCTTGAGCAGAGAAGAGTGAAGCCATCTCTGAGATAGGCAGTCTTCACTGGGGCCATCTCTGGTTAACAGATTGTCTCCTATCTGATGTGTGTTTGATGAGCTCCCATCCTCTGAGGGATAATGGAGTTCTGGGGGTGAAGTGACTTGTAACTTTCCATAAGTGATGCAGTCAGAACAAAAACACATGACATCTCTAATCTATGAGTCAGTGTCTTTCAGCTTTTCAAACACAAATAATGCTCTTTGGAACACAGAACTGTGAGATGTTAAAAATGCAAATATATACATGCCCCAGTTTTTCTCCTCCTGGACCACACCCATGAGACTTATCTAGGGTGAGACTTGCTCTGTTTTCCAACCTCCATACTCCTCTCTTCTACATTTTGGACACCAGGAAATGCCAAAGAAGAAATGCCACAAGGCAGACTTCTTACTAGAGAGAGAGTTTTTTCTTCAAGAATCTTATACTTGGGGTGATTTTGTATTACACATTGAAATATTTATTCTTTTATATAAAACTTCTAAGGTCTAAGTGTAAAACCTTCATCAAGAGCCTCTATATGACAACAGTTTGTAGCTTACATTTTATGCTTCAATATATGTTGGGAGTTGTTCATAGTTTTTGCAAGAAATGTAGTACTGGTATCTTATTCTGGCAACTAAGAAAGTTTAACCATGAAAACTTGTTTGTAGAAAGGCATCTATTTCACTCTGTTGGAAGAAGCATCTTTTTGCTTGAGTCAGTGTCAGCAGCTAGCCCATAAAAGGCAACAATATATAAAAAGTGTCATAGATTTGGCTCCAGGAAGTTAATTAATTTAGTCCATTTGGGAATAGATGACAAGGCTTTTTTTCTTCCTAAACCTTCATTGATCCTCTTAAAATAGTGCTGACACAAGAGGAAGTGACTCAAGTTGATAACAGATAGAGCTGTGGCACAGGTCAAGCCTTCAGAAACAATACAGGCCATCACCAGCATTAAGCCAGTTCAATTTAATGATGCCCATGTGTACTAACAGTAAACAAATCTATGTAAACCCTTTCATTGGGAAAATTAAAGGTATAAGTACAAATTTTCCAAAGCATGTTTTAAAATTTTTCTTTGGTACAAGCATCTCTGGGTTCCTTTGCTGAGCTCAGCAAAGACTCACTTGAGAAGTGGCAGTTGAAATCTTTGCAAAATAAAGTAATAAATTGGGAAAACACAGGCATTCAGCCTAACACGAGGGTTGTTCAGCAACAGCCAGTGAGCAGGAGTCATCATTCTATGGGCTTGGTCTTGTTGCCCTGTTTGGAAAAAACTGGCAATGAACTTGCTCTCTTTGCTTAACTATCACTGCAAGCAATGTCTTAATGTTGAGGTCTTGGATCTGGGTACCCTTCACTGGGGAACTCTGCGAGCCAGATCCAGTGGGCAGACAGAGCACTGTGCCTTATGTACCGGCTAATAAATGGCCTCATTGTATCTCTCCCAACTTCTACACCACTCACATAATTTTCTTCTGGAATAGTTTAATCAAAATCTAAGACTTCATAGTAATTCTCAGGAATGACTGACAACCTTTAAAAATATAATTGCATGCTATTATAATGCTTGAGTAAGTTGACAAAAATCTGTGTATAATGTATTGTCAGCTGTATAATAACCTTGCCACATATCTACCCATCACTGAGTTTCAACAATTACAAACCCAAGCCAGTTTGTTTCATCAGAAATCCCACATATTCTCCTGTTTGCTTCTCACAGTTGTTTTTGAAGAAGATTTGAGATTCAATATTTCATTTACAGATATTAGAGAGTCTGTGTCTATAACCCAAATCTTTATCTGTAAAAATAGAACTATAATCCCATTATCATATCTAAGGAACTTTGAATGATAATCTATTGATAGAAGTATTAAAATTAATTGATTGTAAGTATGTATAAGTGCATCTGTTTTGTATGTATATGCAAAAGTGAGAATGACCCCAGATTTTTCTCTTTAAAAGTCAGTAAATTTAAAATACTATATTTTGTTGATACATATATGTCTTAAGCATCTTTTTAATTTAAACATTTTGAAAAGTACATATATGAGTATTGTATTCTCCTCATTTCCACTTCTCCCTCTCCCACTTCTAGCTTTTCCTATGTACCCTTCACAACCTCTCAGATTCATGGCCTTTTCTTTAATTATTATTGTTTATGTGTACATTTTCATGTGTATATAGTACAACCTGTTGAGTTCATTTAGTGTTGCTCATATGTATATCCACTTGAGGTTGCAGAGCCAAACAGCAACCATTAATTAATTGCCTGTAGCTCTTCATATAGGGATGAGGCCTAGTGACATTTCCCCTATCCATGTTGACATGTCAGTTGAGTGTGTTATTATTCAGATCTTGTTTAGTCAGGCATAACTTGGACATTTCCTGGCCACAGTTTCCCTGTCATATATAAAGATTCTACCTTGAAGTAGACATAACAGTCCTCCTACTCTCATACTTTCTTCCTCTCTCCTGTGATGGTCCCGGAACCTTAGGTGTATAAGAGTTATGATAGATGCATCACTAGGGTTGGTCACCCCATTGTCAGCTTGTCTCAGCATTTTGACAAGTTTTGGGCTTTTGTAATGGTCTCTGATGAAGAGATGTATCTATGGATATAAGGAAGAATAAATGTCTTTAACCTACATGTTCTCTCTCACTTTTGATTTTCTTTTTTTTTTGTCTTGCAATTTATCAGATTCATGATTTTATGGTTTTTCCATATCCTTGCTTTTGCTAATTGCACACCATTACCATCTTTCATCCTTTCTTGATCCTTTGTGTTTTTATATTCTGGTAAACAAAGTCACACCCATGCTATGGAAAATATGTGCCACTGGTTCATGTGGTTATTAAACAATGGATATATAAATTCTGTAATTAAAGAAATTAAAATATAATTTTATTGAATTTGAATTAATGTAAGCTTATAAAATGATGGTCTATTAAATTATTGGAAGAGTTCTTGGTATGGTTAGCGTGATTGTGGCATGTGAATCTACCTTCTAAACTGAATATTCTAGAAAGTCAAAATACAGAGTAAAGTTTTTTTCCAATAAAAAAACCAAAGTGAGGTATACTCTAATGTATGCATAAACCTTCAATGATAAAATATGAACAACATGTAAATATCACAGCAATGTTTTCTCCACTGACAACTGTGTAAACTTTTATCTGGCTACACTAATTTGAATAAAATACAGTTCAGTTGATTTTATTTATTTACATTCACACGTTTTCAATTTTGTGTGCATTTGTTCCTGTACTTGTGGATGTGCATACTTATGTGTGTAAAATGCAACAATCAGTGTTGGGTGTCTTTCTTTGTCACCTCTCGCTTTATTTTATTTTATTTTATTTTTTGAGACAGGGTTTTACCAAACATGGAGTTGCTGACTGAGCTAGACTGACTGGCCAGCAAGTTCCAGGGATCTCCCTGTATCTACATACCCAGTATTTAGATGGCAGGTATGTGTTTCCATGCCCAGTGTTTTCTGTGGGTGCTGAGATCTGAACTCGGGGTCACATGCTTCTGTGGCAAGCATGCTACTGGTTAAACCATCTACCAGCCCCTAGCTTTACATTTTTAATGTTGGTATAAAAAGAGTGAAGATTCCCCCATCCCCTTTTCACACTCTCTTCCATGGAGCAATGCTGATGCAGAGGCTCAGAGACAGTCTGGTTGGGGGTGGGGGTGGGGTTAGTAGAGTTTATGGGACAGCCATGAATTACACACCAGTTCCAGCTGGAGCCATGGGGTGCCCAGGTGCTCATCTGTAGCAGTGCAGATTGACCATGAACCTCTTTCATCTTGCATTTGTTCAGTCAGCTGTACACCCAGTGGATCTCACAGCTGTCCTCCTATTTTAGTCTTAGTGTTATTGGAGACTACAGTTTTAGCATGATTTAGCTTGAGTTCCTTCTTTACCTTTCAAGAGTTAGTGTACAAAGAACTTTTCTTTAACATTTGCCCTGTTAAAACACAGTTTCTTTTAGGTTAGTAAGGTATAATAAATGATTAGACTCTATGTTTGATATTTTCAAGAATAATAATTTATGTACTGGAAAACAGCTCAGTGATTAAAATGCTTACCTTGAAAGCCCCGAGTTAAATGGCCAGAACCCACATTTTTAAAATATCAGGCATGTAGGCATGCTTATGATCCCCATGCTGGGGAGGCATAGACAGATGGGTTTCTGGCCAGTCCACCTACCTACTTTGTAAGCTACAGACAAAAGAGAAATTCTTTTTTTAATGGTGTAGGGAACATGAGAAATGACACCTGAAATTATCCTCTGTCTTCCATACACACAGGTACATACATGCATGTGTGTCTACACCCAAACATACACAAATATGTACAGACAAAACATAGCAAAGATTTTTGTATTCTTTGTTTTTATTTCTATTTTAGACTTCTTGTGATGTTTGCGTTTGTGCAATCATGTTGCAATCAATTGTGTTCGTTACTTTTTTTTTGATCCTCAGATTTTCTTTTGTGGCTGACAGGAATCCTGAAAAGTCAGCTTCTAATTCCTTGGTCATAATACTGGCTGTCTAGGAATCTGCTCACTTTATGGATCTGGAGGTTGGTCCTCTATCACTTCCTGTTCAGAGTCAGAATCAATGTGTCCTAAGGCGAGTTGATGATGGATAACAGGAGGGAGCAACTAGGATCATGGTTTTGGCGCCATGGATGCTTATAGTTTCTGGGTGCTTTTTTCTTTTTTTTTTTTTTTCAGTGGACAGATCTGTGATGGTTATTATTGATTGTCAGTGGGCTCTAGAATCATCCAGGAGACAAGCATCTGGGCACACCTGTGCAGGACTTTCTAGATTCTGTTAACCCCTCTTAGGGATTTCTTGATCACATTAACTGAAGTAGGAAGAGACATACCGAGTGTGGGTTGGGTGACACTTGCTGTCAGTAGCTCAGATGTAGGTCCAAAGGAAACACTTCTTATCATCTGCTTACCTTCCTGTTAACTAACTAGTTCATCTATCCTACTGCTGTCTCAACCTCGGCCACTGCTAAAGGATGTGTTTTTCTTTTTCAGTGTGTGTGCATGTATGAGAAAGTGTATGCATTCATATGTGTATAGGTA